TACTAGAGGCCCAGCACGCGAAATCACACGAGACCCAGACACCCCCACACCACGGGCCCCAGACTCCCTCCACCGTACCGCCATGGGTGGGACCCCAGACTCCCTCCACTGCACACACTGGTGGGACCCCAGACCCCTTTGCCACTGCCACAGGCCTCGTGAGCTCATTTGTGCCTGGCTGGTCCCCTTTTCTCTCTCCCCAGTGTTGAGTGTCTGAGCCATTGGCTGCTCCGAACCATTTGGCTCTTTCCCTTATTAACAGCTTTTACCTTTTGCCTCAATTCCTCTCCCAGCTCACGCCCTTCCCCGCGTGACTCCTCTCCCTGTCGCCTGCTGCATGCACCCCCGCCCCTCCCCCCGTGGAGGGAGCACCTCCTCTCACCACCTGGGGGCCCATGCCATGCTCCCCGCCCCCGCCCCTGCCCGCCTGGTGCCCATCCCTCGCACCTTCTTCGCCATGTGGCCCCGCCCACCTGCCGCCCACCTTGCTGCGATCGGAGCCTGTGGGCCGCGGGACCAAGAGGTGTTCCATGCACCTCCTGGTGACCGATCTTTGGTCATTACGGCATTACGGCCACAGGCTTTTTATATATATAGATTATAGTACATAGCTTCACATTCAATAGCAATATGGAAAAGCTGACATGCAATCTTGACAGGGATTATATCAGTGTCACTCAGTGAATACCTTTTTTTTAAATTTAATTCTCACCCAAGGATATGTTTTTATTGATTTGAGAGAGAGATGGAGGGGGCAAAAGACAGAAAGAGAAACATCAATGTGAGAGGGAAACATAGGTTAGTTGCCTCCCATATGTGCCCAGACAGTGGATCAACCGCAAATGGGTATGTGCCTTGAACTGGAATCAAACCCACAATCTTTTGGTGTACAGGATGACATTCTAACCAACTGAGCCACACTGGACAGGGCAGTGAATACCTTTTCATAACTTAGTAATGAGCAACTATATTTAGGAAAGTTTATGTGAAGAGTTTGCAGTCATCCCATTTTTCTAGATCCAGGATGACAAACAGATTTCATGCCTAGAACCTGTTTAGGGTTCTACCGGATGAGAGGGGTTTGGAGGCTGATTCTGGATGAGATGAGGAAGAGGACCGTGCGTGTCTATTATGGCCGTGTGGTGGTGGCATGTGTGCTGCATACTGGCCAACTCTAATCCAGATATTCCAAATATATCCCTGCATTCACACTAAACAGTAAGGAACTGTGTATTGGGACCACTTTTGTGACACCCACACAGAAATAATTTGCCTGGGCTATATTGAGCATTAAAACTCTAGCATGCATTCAGGAAAATTAACTGAAACAAAGGTATGAAAATTAGTATTCTATTTCCTGTAAGGATTTTTATCATTTGCTCCATTTAAGTATATTCTATGCATAAGAATCCACAAGAGAAATTTCTTTCAAGACTTACTGCTAGGAATATTCATGTTTTACCTCAGTGGCTGGTCAGTCACCTGTTGTTGTTTTTTTAAGATTTTTTTCATTGATTTTTTTTTCTTTTTTTAGAAAGAGAGAGAGAAAAAACATTGTTGTGAGAGCAAAGATAGATTGGCTGCCTCCTGAACACCCCCTACCAGGGAGTGCCCAAAACCCAGGCATGTGCCCTGAACAGGAATTCAAACCAGCTTTTGGTGGTCAGTTTTTATCTCATGGACAATGACTCACTCTTGGCACTGTTTCTAAAAAAACTAAAAAAAAAAAAAAGATCTCTACTTCCTAGCACTGAGCTAGAATAGTACCCCTGCCCTGACAGAATCCTTTTCACATCTTAAACCCACCCTTGATTTCAACTAAGTTTACCTATCTTAATTTTTACTTACCCTCAATTTAGTCACTCATGCTTTTAATCTTATAGAAGTGTTTATTCTATATGCTGGAATGACTGTATATAAATATCCCACCCTAACTGTGCTGCATGGCAATTTACAGTCCCTCAGAAGCTGGGTTTTCTTTTCTATAAAACCAGAGGTTGTTCCATTCTAGTTCTGAAAATTTGTCATATTTCTAGATTAAAGCTAGGAATCAGTCACAAATTTACTTGTATGTTCACTGCCTTTATTAACTTATTTCTTTAAAAAAATCCACCTTTATATTTTATCACAATCAGTGAAATCTCACTGATTCTTCAAAAGGTGGCCATCTTAAAGTAGATAATGTCTAATTTATGTATTCTGACTAGTTTGTATATAGAGAAATTTCACCAAATGACATGTAAAGATATCTATTCTCATGATAGTACCAAAAAAGTAGAATTTCATATGAAGGTCCAGAGAAATTCACAAAGTTAATAACTTTGGAAATGTTAAGTAACATTAACATAGATTGACATCAGTCTAGTGAGAATAATATTGGTTTCATTATCCAATGTAATATGAAATCCATCATATGTCACTAACTGCATTTAGCACAGCACTCATTAATGAGCAAAATCAATTCAAATGCAAAAAGAATTATGTGCTATACACTATGTAAATGAATTACATTACACACAGATTTCAGAGCAGTTTATTAAATAAACTTTTCATTCTACCTTCTCTGCCAGTGATAGGCTTTTTAAAAAAAACAATTAATTTTACTAGGTAACAGTGGTTAGATATTCCCCAACTCCACTTGCCTGCTACTTTATTATGTGTGCAATTTAGCACATATTTTGTTGCAAAAGAAAGATAAGTATTGCTTAAGTTAAGAGCAAGTTGCCTATAGATTTTTGCTGACTTAAAGCCTAATATTAACTTGTGTTGTATGCTCATGTTAAAAAAATTATCCTATATAATAAAAGGCTAATATACAAATTGTCCCCTCGGGTGTTTGACCCACCAGGAGTTCGACCGCTCGCTATGACATGCGCTGACCACTGGGGGGGGTGGAATGAAGGAAGGCCCTGGCCGGCAGCCTGCAGCCAGGGAAAGGAAGGCCCCAATCGGCCCTGATTGCCAGGCAGGCCTAGGGATCCTACCCTTGCATGAATTTCATGCACCAGGCCTCTAGTTTAAAATAACTATTTAAAGCTATAATATTAACATAATGGATACATCTTCCCTGAATCTCAACAGATATTGCTAGTGTTTTTTCTTTATGTTAACTTGAAGCTTTGTAATGGATGACATTCACAAAAAGTTATTTTCTCTCTCTCTTTTTTTTAAATTTCGAATTAGAACAATTTAAATTTTCATTGATCTCAAAACCAATCTGTACAACTTTGCTAACACAAGGAGTCATTTGAATTCTGAAAAGGTGGAAACTTTAGATTTTGTTTTTCTTTCCAATGGCACAAATAAGTTTCTGAAAGCAAAAGAACTACAGATTCTGACACAACACTGGCTACCTATAATTAAACTAGAGGACCGGTGCACAAAATTCATGCACGGGTGCAGTCTCCAGGCCTGGCTGGCAATTGAAGTGTGAGTGTCTGGTGTGGAAGGGCAGGTCCCGGCTGACCTCTGGGCCCTGGACAGCACCTGGGCCCCCAGGCCTCAGCATGTCCCCCTCTGCCTGAGTCATGGTGCCCAATCCCCACATGGAGATACGGTGAGTGTGGCGGGATGCTGTGGGACAGGGCACAGTGTGGGCCTCTGGGCCACCCAGCAGTGCTGCAAGGAAGCTGGGTGGACAGTACACTCTCTCCCAGTCGTCCTCACAGACTGGCTCCTGCGTGAACCCACAGGGAGCCCAACCAGCCCCTGCGGTCCCAGAAGCTGCAGCCCAGCTCACCCAGAGGAGGCCATGTGGGTGCGGGGAGGGCTCTTCAAGGGCGTCCAGCACCTGATACAGGGCTTCCCCAGCACATGAGCCCTGGTGTCCTGGGGGAGGGTAGCAGGGGGAGTGAGAAAGAACTTGATGGACACTCCACATTCTCACCACACCTCTGTCCCTATCATCCCCACCCCCAGATAGCTGGTGAAAGGTCTCAGCCCCCCACCCAGGCACCATGGGAGCTGGTTGCCACTACCCACTCCCAGTTCCCCATCCCAGCCTGGGGACCAACCCTGATCAAGCAATCAGGGCCTGCCAGCCACTGGTCACCATCTGCTGGGTGATCGGTGGGGCGATCGGGCCCCCGCTTGCACCCGCCTTGGCCTGACACCACCTTCTCACCTGCTCCACTATCCTGCTATGGTCCTGCTCTTGTCGAGGCCTATTGGAGCCAGCAGCATCTCCACTGCCGCCCGCTGCCAGCACTGTGTCACCGACGCCCGCCATATTCCGTGCCGCCCCCTGGTGGTCAGCGCACGTCATAGTGAGTGGTCGAACTCCCAGTCGTGGGGACAATTTGCATATTAGATTTTTATTATATAGGATGGGTGGCCAACTGTAGACAGCTCTCCAGAAAGCTGTGCCCCAAACATTTGAGCATCCATCCACCCCTGCCTATGAAGCATACAAATGCTTATACTGCTCTTGGATTTCTCAGAACAGAATTGTGGGACAGACTCTTTCAAAATCCATTTAAGTTCTTTGCAATATCACTATTACTCTGGGATATTAATGCAAGACCAAATATAAGGTCATGAATAAATTCATTCTTCAAAGTATAATGTGCTCAAAAAATAGCTAAGTCTATTTACCATCTTCAAATATGGTTGGAAGAAATAAAAATGAAATATAATAAACATCACAAAGCCTTCTAGATATGGAAAAATTAACAATATATTGGGTGCTGGCAGAGTAAATTCTTCAGGAAGCCAAAGAGACAATGTAAAAGAGAGTCCTTTAAGACAACGATGAAATCAAGCTCCAGGCTAAATAGCGGGAAACATTCTGTGGAAGAAAATGTTAAAGTCTCATATCTTTAATCCTTATTTCTCCTGAGAAGCTAAAAATATAAATTTCATACTTTAATCCTATCCTATTGTATAAAAATTTCTGCTTAATAAAGAAGCCACTGGGAATTGGAAAAACTTTATTTGCTGGAAAAAAGAAGAGGTCACTTGACAATAGAAGGAAAGATCATAACCAGGGTACCTGGGTTTACCTTTGCTTTGCGAAAGTGGTAGACCACCAGCATGCTAACGAAGTCCAGCAGCATACACAGGGCTTGGAAGGAGATGATAGCAAGTCGCAGATATTTATCCTCCTGGACAAAGCAGGGGCTGTCATCGGCACAGTAGGGGCAGCCCTCCCTGCAGGGTAGGCAGACATGGGCTTCTTCTGACACATCTTTTGCTCTTTCTGCAAAATGGTGATCCGGACCCCTTCCTGAAAGTTTCCAAATAAAACTACATTGTCATTGCATTTCTGAGGTAGGCGAGACTTAGTACAGAGTCAAAACACATCTTTCACCTCTTCATTCATTTTCCTTTTTATTAAAGACCTTTTGTCAACCTTTTTGCTAGAGAATAGAGTTACTTTGACTTTAGACTCAAACAAAAGTTTTTTACCCCTTTGATTTAAAAAAAATTGTCATTCAACGTAACTAAGGAAAATTAGCAAATATGGAAAATAAAACTCCATGCAGGAAATAGTTTTCTAAATCTTTTATATCATTATCTACCAATCACCAACAGATACTCCCCATGGCACAAATCATATTCCATAAATATTTGTTCAAGAACTAACCATAAGGCAGGACAAGTAAGTTGTGTCTTTCCTGCACCAAATAAATACACATAACACATCTAGATGGCACAGAATCCAAAGTGAGGCTTTGATTGCTCCTTAATTTAGAAGGATCCTCATCTATCAGGTTCAGTAGATCTAAATTGAATAAAATGGTACTTAATGGATAGTTATTCAGTGTGCAATTGCATAATGATAGTGTATCCTTTCCCAGGGTATAATCCATACTTACAGGCTACCGTGTAATTTCCCATTTTGCATGCCCATAGGACCGTGGTCGGCAAACTGCGGCTTGTGAGCCACATGCGGCTCTTTGGCCCCTTGAGTGTGGCTCTTCCTAAGCCTTAGGAGTACCCTAATTAAGTGAATAACAATGTACCTACCTATATAGTTTTTAATTTTAAAAAATTTGGCTCTCAAAAGAAATTTCAATCATTGTACTATTGATATTTGGCTCTGTTGACTAATGAGTTTGCTGACCACTGTCATAGGATATTTCTGCACTGTTAACTAACTGCTGCTATGATCCTCCCTTTAATGTTAGATTCTTCTGTTTCAGTTATCAAACTTCGCTCTGAAGCCCACAGGTAAAGATTCTCTTTAATTGTTGAGTATACCATTGAAAATGATCCAATTAACACCATATACTAAAAAAAATCAAAAAAGAAAAAAAACCATTTCCAACGCTGAATTCAACATGAAAGACATCAGTGAATAAATAACCAGTTTAATATATCACACAACCACATAATTTGATATATACCACAACCTTGATTGATTAACAAATTTGGGAAAGAGGTTATTCTGATTAATAGCATTTTAATAACACAAAATTTAACACAAAGTATTACTTTCAACTTTTGTGAAAGGTTCATAATTCTTTGAAAATATATCTGTCTGTTTTCCTTCCTTAATAGATATAATAGCAAAAACATAATTGAATCTTCTTTAATGATTCAGAATATATTGTTTTGTAAGAGTCATCATTTTGTGAAAAGTGTATGAATTTAAGTGTCCAGCAGATATGGTTCCCATCGCTAGAGAGCTCTATGGCACTAGGTAACTCTCTTGACCACTTTGGGTCTTAGTTTACAAATGTATGAAATATGAATTGCTGTGGGTTTTATATGAGAGAATGTATATACAGGGTGGGGTAAAAGTAATTTACAGCTGCTTGTATGGAAAATAATATGATACTAATACATGATAATACAACAATAAACTTTATTTTGTGTACTCACAACTGTATACCTACTTTTGCCCCACCCTGTAAATCAGGCTGCCCAGCTTTCTCTTCTCCAAACATGGGAGGTGCAAAGAGGAACTAGGAGTCTATTGCTGTCTTAAGGAAAGGCACTACTTGTTCAAAAGCAGGGAAGTTAGAAGAGCTGAAGTAGGAAGAGAAGGAGTGGAAGGATAAGCTCCATTTTAGACCAATTATATTTGAGGTCCAACTTACACTGTCCAAGAGAAATATGCATTAAGAAGTGAGAAACAATACAAAAATGGATTGTAGGAGAAGGATCAGTGTTAGAGAAAGAATCTACAGAGAGCCATGGGCATGGATGAGGTCAATTAAGGGAATATATAGGGGAAGAAGTTAGATAGGCAGAGGTTTTTACAATATCATAAAAGAAAACTTGGATTTATTGGAACATGCTGGAATGTGATCAAAGATAATAAATGAGTAAAGGCTATGAAGTTTAATGATTATTTTATCCTTCATTTATCTTTTAGACAGTAGTTTCCAGAGTGGTAGAATGAAATTAGGTTGTCAGTCCTTAAGAAATAAATATGTGATAAAGTAGAATACTCTTTCAATAAGTGTTCCAGTGAATGAAAAAAACGCTAGGAAAGCTCATGATTAATAGAAATAGTAATGGGTCAAAAGGACTTCAGACAGGTGTGACACACCTGCCTCCAACCTAATTGGGGACACTGCAAGTTAATCCTCCCCTTTGTCATGTGGGTTTTTGCTTCTCACAGAACCTTTAGTTGCTAGGGTCTTCTCACTTTTAAGTTTTGCCTTTTAACCTTCTTGTCAAGTTTGTCATTAACAGAATACAACAAGAATGCCAGCTTGTCTAATCATCCTCCTAGACATCGCCACCTCCCAGGGACACCAGACTAACTGGACTTTGCAGAATCCTTCTTCCCTGCATAAAGAATCCTTTCCCATTTTGCTTCCCCCTTAACATGAGTCAGATAGGCAGAACTTCTAAGCCTTGGGATAGACAGATCTCCGCTTCTTGACAGCAGGAAGCAGTTACATAAATCAGAGACCTTCGCCTATCTCTCCTTTATACTATTACTAGAGGCCCGGTGCACGAAATTTGTGCACTTGGGGGGTGGGTTCCCCAGCCTGGCCTGAGCCTTCTCACAGTGCAGGAGCCCCACGATCGATCTCCCCAAAGAGGTAGGCCCCGCCCATCCATCTGGGGCTCCTCGATGGATTGCCCCAAAGAAGTAGGCTGGAGCCGTGGGTCCCGCCTCCAGCCCATGCAGAGCCATGGGACCCTGGCATAGCTGTGCAGAGCCGCTGGGACCCGCCACTTCCATGCCACACATGCAGCATCAAGTCCTCGCCCACCCACATGTGCCTTGCCATGCACGTAGCCTCCTGGTGATGGATTGTGATGGCGTGAGGGCATCACAGTGTGAGGGTGTGACAACCACATAGGCTTTTATTAGTATAGATAAAGAGGTTTCTTTTTTCTCAGGGGGGAATGATACTGTTGCAGTAATCTGGTTATTATTTAACAGAAAAAGAGTAAAGGGAAGACTAGATAATATAGGCATTCCATTTTCACAGATTTGCTAAAAAGGTGTAATTTAACACTTTCTAAAGTCTGTTCCCCGCTGATCCATGGGGGAAGGGACTGGAAAAAGGCAATTGGACACAAGCCCAGTAAGATCTAGGTACATGGGAAGGTGCTTACTCATCAGTCACACCTGGAAGTGAGTCAGTGGCGAGAATAGACATGGCCTCTGTAAGGGCACAAAACCTGAATATTTAAACTGCTAAACAAAGGGAGTTCCCTCCTTTGGCTTGCTCACTTGCAGTTTGCCCCTGACTCCTGTTGCAGAGGGCACATTCCCTTGCATGCACCCATGTGGCCCATGGCCATGTGGGCTTCACACAATGGACTAAAGGACAATAACTCTGCCAGACCCAGCTGCACCATGGAACAGAAGCTCTGGACACTGGCCCTACTTCTGCTCTACTAAAACTCCAGCTGCACCTCTTTCAGACTGGGTTAAGGGGCATGGGATGCTACTACCCAAAAAACGTAGCTCCATGGAAATAAAGTCTTCTACCACCTCTCATTGTCTAGTGGGGAATTCTGAAAATGCTTATTTTGGCGACACCCCAAGAACCTCATTCCCATGAACAACAGAGGCACTCCACTCGTGTACTCCTTCCGATAACATTATAAGCAGAGACTATTTAGCATCCTGAGTCACTTAAATCTGAAAAATACTCAGTATGTTAACAGCACAGTGTTATCTGGGGTTTTTTGTTTGTTTGTTTATTTGTTTTTGTAACATATGACCATGGCAAGCAATTTTAGTCACATTTTAGATACATTTGACGTGTCCTTTGTAAAATTTTCACTCATTTTTAACCAAGAAAAATGTGAGAGTTACTTTTTGCTTAGGAGAAAACCTAACCTAACGCTGACTCTTTTCACGATCATTGTTTGACTTTTGTTGCTCATCCATATATCCCAATTATGGCCCCCTCTACCTTGATATATTTTGTTATTCATGTAAATCAAGGTTCTTTTTTATTGCTTGCAATGTCCCCCAATTCTAACATACTACAGACTGAGTTACTTGTCTAGATTCTACCTACTGAAGTAGAGACTGGGAGGTAGAATTCAGGAACACAAGAATTTCAGTCAGTCCTGTTGAATGGTCTATTCCTACTGTGCAAAGCTGAACTTAACTGCACCTACCATGCCCATCATTCTCTTCACCAACCTGTTATCCAGAGAACTATACCAACTTAGAGAACCTCTCACGACTGATCCACTCTATCTCTGTTCACTATTATTGATGTTCCAAGTCCTTGTGATTTTCTTTATTTGCCAATGTTCTACTCTCTCGATAGATAGATAGATAGATAGATAGATAGATAGATAGATAGATAGAGATAGATATACTAGAGGCCCAGTGCATGAAATTCATGCATGGGGGGTGGGTGTCCCTTAGCCCGGCCTGCCCCCTCTCACAGTCCAGGAGCCCTCAGGGGTGGGAGGCAACCCAGCGATCAGGGGAAGGCATGCCCCATCACACCTCTGCTGCTGCCACTTCCAGTAGCACAAGCCTTGGCCAGCCCTGTACCTGAGCCTCAGGCAGCCATGGGAAGCTGGGCAGCTGCCATCTGAGGCATGCCTACACCTTGGGTCATCCCTGGGGGGCTGGGGGGCTGAGGGGGCTGGGGGACTCTGGAGGCAGGCAAGCAGAGCTGCCAGGCCTGCCTGGGGGTTGGCCCGGCCTTGCCATGCACCTGTCACCCAGGCGGGACTGAGGGGACTGGGCGCTGCCATCTTGTGGCTCTGGGCGCCACCATCTTTGAAGGCAGGGCAGTCAATTAGCATATTCCCTCCTTATTGGCTGTGGGCACCACCATCTTT